CAGATGCATGGCCTTCCGAAGCCGACCTGTATTTGTACGAGTATGGTGCAGTGAACTCCTCCATGCGCTGGTCCGCGGATAGTGTACAGCGCGCCGCCGCGGCGTCCGACTCGCCCGCTGCCGTACTTACTTCGACATGTGCGCCGCCGCCGGGTATCGACTTTCGACGGAAAGTTGTATTTTCTTGGGGTTGGGACTTCGACGGCTTACCTCCCTCCCTGGCGCCGACCGGCTTCGTGGCCGTGTACCGCCGCTACCCGTTCGACCACATGGCGCCCGGCAGCTACGGCCTCCAGTTCGCGAAACACGACAATGTACGGCTGGCGGTCATTGTGAGGTTCACGGATGCGAACCCCGATGTCGCTGGGACGCCGGCGGCGGTGCGGGAGGTGGTGGCGGCGGCCGAGAATGCCAGCTTGTCCATACCCGGCGGCAGGGTCAGCGACATCACGTTTGTGTACTTCGTCCCACCCCTGAAGCTGCTGAGCAACATCACCAAGATGAGCGCCTCCGTCACCATGACCTGGCGGCCGGCGTCGCCGTCGCCGCCGCCGTCACCGCCGTCGCCACCATTGCCACCGCCACCGCCACGGCTGCCAACGCTGCCGAAGGCACCGCCGCGGCCACCACCCCCACCGCTGCCGCCTGCTCCTTGGCCGCCGCCACCTAGCGCACCACCACCGGGCCCTTACCCACCGCCTTCACCACCCTCGCCACAGCCACCCATTGCGCCCAGTCCTCCGCCACCCTATCCCCCAGAGGATCTCCAGGTGAATCTATTTATATCTCTGGCATGTACATTTCCTGGCACTTAGTGTTCACGCGTGTATGTGTGTGTATGTGTGTGTATGTGTATGTGTGTGTATGTGTGTGTGTGTGTGTATGTGTGTGTATGTGCGTGTATGTGCGTGTATGTGCATGTATGTGTGTATGTGTGTATGCGTGTGTATGTGTGCAGCAGCGGATTCTCCGCTTCCGCTTTGACCTCCACGAGCTCACTCCGTTTCTGAGAACGCAAACCGGGGTGTTTCGAACAAGTCGTTAAATACAATAAATTATTTTGAACATCTTACACATGCTGTGCCAGTCAGTCAGTCACTCACTCACCCGGCGGGCCGTCCAGGTCGTCTGGGCGTCTTTTTCTGAACTATTTCGGCCGGGCGGGAAAAAACCCGGGCGGGAAAAAAACCGGGCGGGAAGGTGTGTTTTGTGCATACCTTTGTAGGTAATCTCGTATCATCCTCTCGTAGCAGTGAGGGGGCATTTTCGCTTGATAGCAATAACAACAAGCAGAGCGGTACCTCGTTTTCATACATGTACCAACAGGCGTCTGGAAAGGTTAGAGCGGTCGCCGGCGTTTGGGATTTGGGGAACAGGGTCCCTTGGTGGCCCGTTCCCGCCACATTGGAATTCGAGTCGTACACTCCTCCTCCTCCTCCTCGTCATCCCGATACACTTACTCCCCCGGGGCCGCCGCCCCCGACCCCCGCAGGTGACTTCCCCGCCGTTCCCCTGCGCCTGGGTGACTGTGCCCGGAACGGACTTCCGCACCCGGCGCTTCCTGTTTCCACCCCCCCTGGACCCGCAGCTGCTCGCCGCCACCGACCCCACCGCCGCCGCCGCCGCCGCCCCTCTGAGCTTCGGATACACCGTCGAGGTAGGTACGGCAAGGTACGACCCGAAAAGCTGCTTTGCTGTTAAGGTAGATATTCTTGTCTTGTCTTAGTGAATTATGGTTTGCGGTCAATGACGTACCGTAACACATGGACGTGATGGTCCTGGGCTGTCCCGCGTACCTACCTACCTACCTACTCACCTACCTACACATACATACGTACTTACTACATACATATATGGTTACATAGTTACATGCCCCCGGGAGATCCCGGGATCGATACCCGTTAGGGTCAAAGTCCTTCCGATGGTGGAAGGCATTGCACCCCTAGTTGATGGACGGAGGTGACCTGGGATAAAATTAACCTGCGAGCCGACCAGGAATGGAGTTGGGCCGCTGTCGACCCGGCGGATTCCGTTGGATGCTGGTGGTGGGTGCGGAACCTGAGCGATCCACTGAGAAGTTGACTAGGGTGACTGGATGAGGGTGCCCCGAAATACCGGGGAAGGCAGGGTTTCGCAGGGTAGCTGCCACGGGCGAAGATACACCCCCCTTTTCACACATCATATATGGTACATGCAAACAGACTCTACACTTTGCTCGTGCACTTGTGGCCGGCCCCACCTCCAAGACTCTTCCAAAATCCAAGAATTGAAGATCCAGATCCAGATGGCTGTTTTGCCCAAGCCCGAAATTTGAACTGGATTTGGATCTAATTCGACTCCAACAACAAAACTTTCATCCGAGATCTTGACAGCCAACTGAACCAAGAGCTCGAACTGAGGTCCCGCAGGCAATCCGATAAACCCCCGCCGTCCCATCCCGTCCCCGGCTCCAGGCTACCGGGCTCACGAGGACAAGTCCCGTCGTCGTCTGCGCCTCCGCCACGCCGTGCAACAGCCCTGAGGAAGCGACGACGGTGGCGGCAGCTGCGTCTGAGAGCCAGGGGGTGGTAGAGGGGGATCGGGGGGGGCCGGTGGTGCAGGCCGCCACAACCGTTGCCGTTGGCGCCGCTGCCTTGTTCATCAAGCCACCGAGCTTTGAGGAAGACGGGCCCGCAGCGTACGGCAGATCCAACAGGGTGCAGCTGGCGAGTACGAACTACCCCGAGGGTGTGTTCGTACTTGCCAGCTCGGACGGCAGTTACAACAGCTACTCTGTTGAGGTGAGTGCGCACCCAGTTGAGGTGTACACATGACTGGTTTGTTTTTTATACTCTGTATACGATGATGTTTATGTTGATGTTAATGAAGTTGATGGGGTGTTACACTATGGGCGGCTCGCCCGATAAAGGACGAGCACCGGGCCGAAACACAGCGCAGGGACGGGCGCGCGGCTCTACGTCCGTCTCTCCGCGCGCGCCTCATTCCCTCACTCACGCCAACCGGGACACTCTCCCAGCCCCTGGCTAGGCAACACAGCGGCGCAGAAGAAGTTGATGATGTTGATGATGTTGATGTTAATGAAGTTGATGATGTTGATGATGTTGATGATGTTGACCATGTTGATGATGATGACGACGATCCCCTGGTTGCATGTAGGAAATATGT